TGTACTCTATAGCTTCACCACCCTAAAAATCCTCTGTCCTCTGCCTGTGTATCCCTTTCTAAACCCTGGCAACTATTGATCCTTTTACTGTCTCCATAACATTGCCTTTTTGAGACTGTCATTTAATTGGAATCATACAATAAATAGCCTTTACAGATTGGACCATTCCCCTTTATAATATGTACTTAAGTTTCATCCCTGAATTTTTATGACTTGATAGTTCATTTCTTTTTGGCACTGAATGTTTTCCATTGTCTAAACTTACCAAGTGCATTTATCCACTTACCTATTGAAAAGATACGTTGGTTGCTTCCAGATGTTAACAATTATGAATAAAACTGCTATAAACATCCATGGGAGTGTTTTCATGTGGACATTACTTTTCAACTCCTTTGGGTAAATACCAAGCGGTGTGATTGCTGGATCATATAGTAAGTGCTTGTTTCATTTTGTAAGAAACTACCAAAATGTCTTCTAAAGTGGCTTTACCGTTTTTGCATTCCCATTAGCAATAAATAAGGAGTTTTGTTGCTCCACATCTCTGCCAGCATTTGGTGGTGTCAGCGTTTAAAATATTTACTATTCTAGTAGTTGTGTAGTAGTTTTAATTTACGTTTCCTTGATGATATATGATGTGGAACATCTTTTCATATGCTTATTTGCCATCTGTTTTTTTTTTTTTAATTAAAAAACAAAACAAAACCTTTGACACTGTTACAGATGTCCTCATCCCCTCCACCCCTCTTTGTCCACCTCCATCCAGCCCCTGCCACTCCTCCCTTGGCCTTCACCACTCTGCTGTCTGTGTCCATGGCTATGCAGGTATGTTTTTTGACTAATCTCTTTACCTTCTTCCATCCAGCTCTCCTTTCCTCCCATCCCCTCTGACCTCTGTTAATCTGTTCCATCTATCCAGACCTCTGCTTCTATTTTGCTCATCAGTTTATTTTGTTCATTAGATTCCACATACGAGTGAAATCATATAGTATTTGTCTTTCTCTGATTGGCTTATTTCATTTAGAATATAATCTCCAGGTCCATCCATGTTGTGGCATAGGATAAGAGTTCCTTCTTTTTTACAGCTGCGGCACATATACACAACAGCATACTATTATGTATATGTACCAGAGTTTTAAAAAAAATATATGATTTTTAGAGACATAGGAAGGGAGAGGGAGAGAGAGAGATAGAATGATAAAAGTCGTCAGTCAGCTGCCTCCTGCACACCCTCTACTGGGGATTGAGCCCATATCCCAGGCATTGAAACTCTGCCCTGACTGGAAAACAAACCTGTGACCTCTTGGTGCATGGGTGGATGCTTTACTGCTGAGCCCCACCTGCCTGGCTACCACAGATTTTTTTAAATCTGCTCATCTACTGATGGATACTTGGGCTATTTCCAGATCTTGACTATTGCAAATAATGGTGCTATGAATATATGCATATATTCTTTCTGATTGGTGTTTTGAGATTCTTGGGGTATATTCTTATAAGTGGGACCACTGGGTCATAAGGCAGATCCATTGTGTGTGTGTGTGTGTGTGTGTGTGTGTGTGTGTATGTGTGTGTGTGTGAAACTTCCATACTGTTTCTCCCATTAAAGATACATGAGAATTCTTTTTTCTCCACATCCTGGCCAACACCTGTTTATTTTATTAGTGATAGCCGCTCTGACAGGTATGAGATGATATCTCATTGTGGTTTTGTATATATTTGCTAGCTCATTTTTTAATTGTGTTGTTTGTGTTCTTATTTTGGGGGTTAAGTGTTCTTTAACCTTCAAAGGGGGGCACTTATGGCCCATTGTCCCTAGCTTTGGGGATTAAGCAGATACTCTGAGTCATTTTTCTTCTCTTTGTTATACTTTATGTGATTATCTCACAGGATTGGAACATCCTTGGCCTTGGTATACCATGGCATTCCAATGAGTTTACTTACCAAGTTCATACATTTAGAGGTGAAGGGAACAGTGTCAGATGGACCAAGAGCCCTTACTGGCCTCCTGCAGCAGATCACTGACCCTGCATGTCATTTAACTTTGTCTCTTTAAACCGGGGAATTATCACTTGATCTAAATAATCTGAATTCTGGGGAGCATCAAATGAGATGACCAAAATGGGATTTATTTATTCAATATAAAGGTATAGAAACAGGTGACTTTTTAAAAATTGCATTTGCTTTCTGCCTTTAAATTACATTAAGTTGACAAATTTTATAAGTATTTCCAAATAAGTTTTATTCTTCCCGGAAATAATGAACAAAAAAATTACCCTATGACAACATGAAAACTTCATCATATCACTTGTGCCAATGCCCATTTTAGGCAGAATACTTGTTAGGGCTTTGCATTTGCTTTAAGCTCTCTGTTTTCAAAGTGACATAATCCAAACGACATCATGTCTGTGTTCTGGAATGAAAGGAGGAATGACGTCTCATTCTCTAAAATATTTAAAAAATATATATATTTTATTGATTTCAGAGAGGAAGGGAGAGGGTGAGAGAGAGAATCATCAATGATAAGAGGATCGTTGATGGACTGCCTCTTACACGCCCACTACTAGAGATTGAGCCCATAACCCTGGGCATGTGCCTTGATCTGGAATTGAACTGTGACCTCTGGATTCATAGGTCGATGCTCAACTACTGAGCCACACCGGCTGGGCTAAAACAGTTCTTAATAGAATAACAAAATATATCTGAACACATTTGCTGGAATGACTTTTCCTTTAGGTTGGCTTAATGGGATCTCTGGGATTTACAAAAAAATTCCTTTGCCATTCTTGAAGCCGTAGTCATGTTATAAGTTTGAACAGACCAGGTCTGGCTGTCTATTGCCATGCATGATGGTATATTATTTAAATTGAGAGTTTTGTTCCTATCAAAAGTAAGAATGCTTCTGGGGTGAGGAAGCCTTTGAATCAGCCAGAAACCCTTCCTTTAAATATTAACGTGTTCAACTGCAATGAGAATGAGAGCCCGGAGAGGAGTGTTTTGGTCCTACCTGCCACTCCCGTAAATGACAGACCAATCTCCCGGCTTGTTTGGACCCTTTCACCTCAAAGGCTGTATAAACCTGAGATGCTAGGTTTGTGAAAAACACTGATTCTTAAAAGGTAAAATGTTGTCCAGTGTCTACAGATTCACACACGTTCAGGGCCATTATAAAGCAAAACAATTTGGATTTGTTTGGTGAGGGAAGAACTTCTCTTCAAAGATTTCTCCTAAGTGAGGAAATAAGGCAGATGACATCAACACAAGAATAAACCAGTCTATTTTTTGCCATGCAAAATTCTCTGTGTCTACTTCCTAGGATCACAGTAACATTTTATTGCAAAAACTGGGAGTCAAGAGGCCATGTGATTACTGTGTTTGTTTTTCTGGGTACCCTTGCATTTTTAGGGACAACCGTCTATTTTATTTTATATATATATATTTTATTGATTTTTTTTTTTTACAGAGAGGAAAAGAGAGGGATAGAGAGTTAGAAACATCCATGAGAAACATCAATCAGCTGCCTTCTGCACACCTACTACTGGGGATATGCCTGCAACCAAGGTACTTGCCCTTGAGTAGAGATCCACTGAGCCAAACCAATTAGGGCTATTTGTTTTATTATTTTTTAAAAAAATATATTGATTTCAGACAGAAAGGGAAGGGAGAGAGAGAGAGAGGGAGAGAAACATCAATGATGAAAGAGAATCATTGGTTGGCTGCCTCCTGCACACCCCCTACTGGGGATAGAGCCCACAATCCCTGCATCTCTGCAGGTGCTATGACCTGGAATCCAACCTTGACCTCCTGGTACACATAGGTCAATGCTCAACCACTCAGCCTGGCTTTTATTTTATTTATTTATTTATTTATTTATTTATTTATTTATTTATTTATTTATTAATATTTTAGAAAATGAGACCATCAATCAGTAGGTCCTTCATTTTCGCCTCGGAACCCACTTACACAAGCGCCTACGTCACTCGCATGCAGCACATCCACAGCAGTAATGAAGTGACACAGTAAAAAGAATTTAAAAGATGACAATTCCTGACCTTTACTTGTGCTAAATAAATAACAAAAAAAAACATAGAGCACATATGTACATATGTTGAAATGATGGACATTTTAAAAAATATAAATAAACGGAACATGGCGAGGTAACCACGAAAGGACGAACATCGAGTCCAGCCTAACCCGAGGACTGCCTGTATTTAACTCATGTGATGCTTCTACGATAACGACCTGAAAAACCTGTCTACATTTTTTCCAGTTCAGGAAACGGAGGCCCACAGATCGGGGCAGAAGACTGTAAATTAGCCTGCGCGTGTAGGGAAGGTTTCAGAGCCCCAGGAGCCTCCCCTGCGGGGCTTCACCAAACAGAAGGTCTTTCCACCCAGATGACCGACGACCCCCTGCTGCGCGCTGGGCGCGCGTTGGCTCAGCCCGAACCCAGCCCAGGAACCAGGTCCTGGGAGCGATCGCCGCTCCTTGGAGGGCGGGGAGCTTGGAGGCCCCCGGGGAGCTGCAGGGGGTGGGCGTCCCCGCCGCCAGGCGGACCCAGCAGCGCGGAGGGGGTCTGGGGAAACTTTGGGGAACCAAAGTGGTGGGGTGTCTTGGAGTTTCGTTTCTCCGAAGCAGAACTCGGAAGAAGCCTCCCTGGCTGTGGCCTCCGCGGGCCATTGTGTCCCAGAGCTCCCGGGACTGTGCGCCCTCCGCTCCCCGGGGCTGTGGGCACCGATCGCCGTGCTCGGCTCCGTCTCCCGTTCGGACCGACACCCGAGCAGCAGGAATGGGCGCCGAGGAGGGCGCGGGGCGCAGCGCCAGGAGCCCCGGCAGCGAGAAGGGGCTGCCGCTTCCTCTCCCGCGCCCGCCCCGCGTCCCTGCCGCTCAGCTGACCCGCGGGCGGGGCCGGGGCGGAGACCGGGCCGGAGGGGCCGGCGCCTGGGCTCGCGGAGCGCTGGCCGTGGCTTCCGTGGCCTCCCGCAGACCCCGTCCCCGGTCCCAGCATGCGCCCCTGCCTGCTCCTGCTGCTCGCGCTGTGCGGGGCGGACCCCGCGGCCGCCGCGCGCAGCTTCAGCTTGCGGGGAACTTGGAGGATCCGCAACGGGAACGGCTCCCTGGAGCTGCCCGGGGAGGTGCCCGGCTGCGTGCACACCGCCCTGCTCCAGCGCAACCTCATCCAGGTACCGTGTGCGGCCGCCCCGCCAGCCCGAGCCCCGTTCCCTTCGCGGCCAGGGGCGCAGGACCTGCCTGGGAGCCCCCTGCCGCGGGCGATGCTCCTCTGCTGGGCACTGACAGCCCCCCTCTTCCCCTCATGCAGCGTGTGGTCTCTGGGGGCACTGCCAAGGCCGTGTATGTGCTGTTGGGGAAGAGCACCCCTGGGGGCCGGGCTGGATGGAGACTCACTCGCGCCCGGACCTCAGGAGCTGGGAAGCGGAAGTTTCCTTAGAGCAAAAGGTCTTGCTCCTTGGGGTGTACTTATTGCCTCAGCTCTCCACTGAAGAGCGGATAGAAAGGACTTGTCACCCACAAACCCATGAAGCCTAAGGTGTGTGTGTGTGTGTGTGTGTGTGTGTGTGTGTGTGTGTGTGTGTTACTGTTTCAGCTACTTGGAAACTGCAGGGGAAACTGTTGTGTTTTGCTAAGTAAGCGCTAACTATTTAGTAATGTCTCAGGCTTTCATTTTCGCGGTTAGGCCTCGGGGAGTCTAATTTTGGGACTTTGCAGCACATGGGTTGACGAGACAGACCTGTGAGTGTAAGGTTAGGGACTGTCAGTGCAGGTGTGGAGGCTGCATAACTTTCAAAGCTGATTGGGATATGAAGAGAGGTGCTCTTTCTTCTCAAGGCATGCGATGTGTGTGTGTGTTTAATAGATGCTCTAATTTGTAGACTCGTGGAGGGACATTTTCCTGGTTGATTGCCTGTGTGTGTAAATGTTTGCAGACTTTCACCTTCCACTGTTTTCATGGTTCCATCCGCTGCAAGTCATTTTCCCATTCTATGATTATCTTTGGCTGGGACAAGTTGCATTTAAATATTTATTGACTTCAGAGAAGAGGGGAGAGAGGGAGAGAGCTAGAAACATCAATGGTGAGAGAAGCATTGATCAGCTGCCTCCTGCATGTCCACACTGGGGAACCGGCCAGCAACGTAGGCATGTGCCCTGCCTGGGAATCCAACCCTGACCTTCTGGTTAATTGGTCTGTGCTCAACCACTGAATCAGGCTGGCGGGGCAAGGTGTACTTGCTAAGTACAATAGTTTGCATGCATGGTCTCATTCCTTATAAGAACTCTATGGAATGTGTCTTTGCATTAGCCGGGAGCAGTTAAGAAAACATATCCAAGATCACACAGCAACAAAATGGCAGAAATGGAATTCTAACCCAGGCTGGCCTGACTCCATAGCCTGGGTTCTGTACTATTCTGCTCTTACCCTGGTGTTTCGAAAAACCGTGTATTTTTGAAGCACTGTGGTTCACAATCAGGAGTATCATTCACATTTTACTTAAGTGACAAGATGGTCAACGAGGGTTATTTTCTGCATTAGCTCTTTTTCAAGAATGTTTGTCAGAAAGGAAGTGTATTTGACACTGGCTACAGTTCAGTTCTTTTTTAATTTTTAAAAAATATATTTTATTGATTTTTTACAGAGAGGAAGGGAGACGGATAGAGAGCTAGAAACATCGATAAGAGAGGAACATCGACCAGCTGCCTCCTGCACACCCTCACGGGGGGATGGGCCCGCAACCAATGTACATGCCCCGACTGGAATTGAACCTGGGACCTTTCAGTCTGCAGGCTGATGCTCTATCCACTGAGCCAAACTGGTTTTGGCTCTTTTTTAATTTTTAAAAAAAAATATATTTTATGGATTTTTAATTTTTAATTTTTTTTTTAACAGAGAGGAAGGGAGAGGGATAGAGAATTAGAAACATTGATCAGCTGTCACCTGCACGCCCCCCACTGGTGATGTGTCCACAACGAAGGTACATGCCCTTGACTGGAATCGAACCTGGGACTGACCTTTCAGTCTGCAGGCTGATGCTCTATCCACTGAGCCAAACGGTACGCACTTTATTGTCAGTTACTCAATCTGTGGCATAGACCACGGCTGACTTTGGCACCCTGAGCTACTCACACATGCCTTGAGAACGTCTGTGTGTACTGCAGGGCCTCTCCTTGCCTCATTTCACTGGTCGAATTCAGCCAACGGGAAATCATTAGTGACTTTAGCAAATCAGATCCGTGTTACAGGGCCACCTATCAGGGAACAGTGTTCAGTAACCAGTCAGTGAGAATGAGGTTCTTCATAATATGACATAACTGAGGTTTCCTCATGGGAATAACTTACACTGCCTATTACATCCGTTCATAAATTCTTAGAAAACTTTGTTTCAATAAGATGATAAGGTGGATGTGGGTCTTAAATGGTAGTGGGATGAGAGACGGGAAAGCTTTCTGGGGCTTGGAGAACCCCAGGCCAATTGATAGTAATCATCAACATCAGTGTCATTAAATATTGTAATGTTAAAATGCCTGCTTTATTACAGTCCTTTTCGGTGCTGACCTCAGAAAATATTCTAGAGTTTAGAGCAGACACTGGCGCAAATACTGTGTTTACATGAGAACTTGAAGCACCTCTTGCCGAAGTCATTCATTCATTTATTCATTCACCTCATTGTCTCATAAGTGTTTATCCAATACCTCCAAGGTGGCTGGCACTGTTCCAAGTGCTTGCTATCGAATGCTAAAGAAAACATTTGCCCAATAGAAAATCTCTAGTGGAAGAGAGACAATAAACAGATTAATAGATAATATAATGACATGTGATACCCTGAAGAAAAATAAAGCAGGCTAAAGAAAGAGAAAGTGAAGGTTGATTGGGAAGGATTGCTATTTTTTAAAAAGTGGTTCAAAATAGGCATTTGATAAAGCGACTCTTTAAAACAGAAGTCTTTTTAAAAAATATTTTTGACAACTCAAAGACTTTATTTTTATTTTTATTTTAAAATATATTTTGTTGATTTTTTACAGAGAGGAAGAGAGAAGGATAGAGAGTTAGAAACACCAATGAAAATCATCGATCAGCTGCCTCTTGCACACACCCCACCGGGGATGTACCCGCAACCAAGGTACATGTCCTTGACCGGAATTGAACCTGGGACCCTTCAGTCTGCAGGCCGACGCTCTATCCACTGAGCCAAACCGAAACAGAAGTCTTTTTGATGAGGTCAGTTTTAAGAGGTGCATTCCCAGTGAAGAGGGAAGAAAAAGACAGGCATAGGGAAGGGAGCATGCTTGAAAGTTCCAGGAATAGTAAGCAGGCCAGTGTGGCAGGAGCCCTGTGAGCCAAGAGGGTGGGAGGATGAGTTCAAAGGAGGCCGGAGGCAGATCGTGCCCGGGTTGTAAGCCTTGGGAAACACTTTGGATTTTCATCTACAGCTGATGGGAAGTTACTGGATGTTTTGAGCTTGGAACTGCATGATTAGATTTGCCTTTTAGGAGGTATTTTTGACGTTGTGTGAAGACTACAGTGCATCAGAGTGGAAGCATGGAGGCCAGGCAGGGGACTATTACAGTTGTCTGGACAAGAGATAGTTCCTGGCTTGGACCAGGGTGGTAGCAGGGAAGTGACTGTGAGAACACATTTTAAACATGGGACACACAAGATTTGTTCAGCTGGATTAGTTGATAGATTGAATGTGAGGCATGTGAGAAAGAGGAGTCCAGGGAGAGTTAAGGATTTGCCAGTCTGAGTAATTGGTTAATTGGAATTGGTGTTTACTGAGAGGCTCTGTGGCCAGCCTTGGGTGGTCATAAGTGACTGTGTGTTTCCTATACAGAGTGTATACGTTAGGTGTCTTAGCCCTCTCCTAAAGGTAATCATTCATTCATTCATTCATTCATTCATCCTATCGATACTATTATGCCATACACTAAAAGAGGCATTAAAAAAACAAGTGAGACTCAGGCTCTTTTGTGGGAGGCCCCATTGTAGTGAGGCAGAAAACCTAATTAATAACCTTATGATAAGTGCATAGATAAGGGGACTCTTTTAGGAATGTTCCCAGCTTTTCTGTGCAATTCCTTGGTGGTTTAAGTTTGCAAAGTTTTTTTTTTTTTTTTTTTTTTTTTTTTTTTTTTTTTTTTTAAAGAGTTTCAGTGTGCCAAAATGAGGAAAAAATGGTAATATCTCTTTATACTAAACATTTTGTGACAGTTTTATGTGCAGTAAATATATCTCTGCAAACCATGTTTTATGGCTCTTTTTTTTATTCCATTGTGTACTTGCCATCATTTATTTTCTTAGATAAATTTTTAGAAGTGGAATTGCTGATTCAAAGGGTATGCCCTTTTTTAGTCTTTTATTTATTTATTTATTTAAAAAAATATACTTTATTGATTTTGTACAGAGAGTAAGGGAGAGATAGAGAGTTAGAAACATCAATGAGAGAGAGTCATCGATCAGCTGCCTCCTGCACACCCCCTACTGGGGATATGCCCGCAACCAAGATACATGCCCTTGACCGGAATCGAACCCGGGACCTTTCAGTCCCCAAGCCGACGCTCTATCCATTGAGCCAAACCGGTTTCGGCCCTTTTTTAGTCTTTTAATATGAACTTCCAAGTTTGTTCTCCATAAAAGCTGTACTAGTTTTTATACTCTCATCATCATTTTACGAGAATGCTTATTTTAGGTGCAGATTTGGATATTGTTTTTTTTAAAAAAAATCAAAACAGCCGAAACCGGTTTGGCTCAGTGGATGGAGCGTCGGCCTACAGACTCAAGGGTCCCAGGTTTGATTCCGGTCAAGGGCATGTACCTTGGTTGCAGGCACACCCCCAAGTGGGGGGTGTGCAGGAGGCAGCTGATCAATGATTCTCTCTCATCTATGTTTCTAGCTCTCTATCCCTCCTCTTCCTCTCTGTAGGAAATCAATAAAATATATTTAAAAAATCAAAACAAAACAATGTACTTTCTAGTGGGGTTAAATGTATTTTATATTTTTAATATGTTTACTGGTGATTTATGTGTTTTATTCTATTTTTCAATTAGCTATTTATCTTTAAAACAGATTTGTTAAACCTCTTGTTTAATTTTTTAGAACTTTCCAGTTGTTAATGATTATTTTGTCATATTGAAATCTTACAAAGTTTTTTTCTTTTATGATTGTTTCTG